AATGCAGCCCTCTTCTACCTCTGCTGCAAGTGCTGCACAGAAAGTGGGCCTCTGGGCAGTGAGAACAGCAGGAGCTGCTGGAAGATGGGTCATTACCCCGGACTCTTCTGCCTTCCTTCACGGGGTAGCCAGGCAGGCTTCAGGGCCAGGTATATTCCAGTATGCCCCCCAGCATCTAAGCTAGGGACAGACTTGCGGCAAGGAACAGATCAGGGCTTTTCTCTTCTATAAATCTAATGCCGAGGGTCATGGGGAGTCTGTGGCTCTTCAGATGTGCAGGTCTAAGTCCTGTCCTGTCCCTTGCGTTGCAGGTGGATATTCGCTTTCCCCAGAGTGGAGCTCCTGATCCCAACTGTGTGACTGTGACGGGACTCCCTGAGAACGTGGAAGAAGCTATCGATCACATCCTGAACTTGGAGGAGGAGTATGTAAGTGTTCAGCAAATCTGTGCAGGGGCTTAACAAGGATTTCCTCTGCCACAGAGCTAGATGTCTGAAGTATCTCCCTGTGGTATTTTCTACCACTACGCTGGAGAACTCGAGCCCTGTGCAGGCGGCAGTCAGCCCTCATCTGCAACCATCCCTCAAACCAACTGGGCGCGGAGCCCCAGGCTGTGCTCTGCGAAGCAATGCAAGAATGGGCCCCGTTGTCCAGAAGGGGACAGTGAATGAGGATGCTGGGATGCCACCAGGCTGTGCACGTGTTTGCATCAGTTAGGAGTTGGTGGCCCTCAGACCAGTGCAGAAACACTGCGTTCGGTCACTGTAGAACAGGCTGGTGACCTTGGACAGGTTGCAGCATGGTGAGATGGGGGGAGGTGTGTTACACCAGTTTGAGGAACTATCAAGGTCCCCCCCCTAACTGAGCCATGTCACTGCAGCTTGCAGATGTTGTGGACAACGAGGCAATGCAGGTGTACATGAAGCCCTCTTCACATGAAGAGTCCAAGGCCCCATCCAAGGGCTTTGTGGTGAGAGATGCCCCCTGGGCCACTGTCAACAACGAAAAGGTGAGTCCTGCTTCTGCTGTGGGCCTGGGGGCACAGGGAGTGTAGCACCCTCTGCCAAGGACCTGCCTGGAGGTCTAGCCCTCCTATCTCAGCTGGGGAAGCAGAGCACGCTCCCTCCCTTGGTGGCAGAGAAATCAGTGAAGGGCCCTCGTGCTCTTTGTGGCCTGTGCAAGCTGAGGGCAGGCCTAGGCTCTGTCTCTCCAGCTTCCAAAGCACTGCTATCTCCTTCTTCCAGACGTCCTGCCCACACTGACTACCCCACTGTGGAGCTGCTGGGGAATGAGGGACCCCTACTAGAAAGTGTCCTGCCAGGTCCTGTTGTTTTTAGGAGTAGGGCCGGGGCCCTGGGACTTCTGACTCTTCTGCTGCAGCACAGAACCAGCTCAATGTTTGCAGCTGTGTTCTGGCTGGGAGCAGTGAGCTGGAACATGTGGCAGCTCTGTCCTCAGCTGCCCCGGTGCTGCTGCAGGACTGGCCTGACCCCGCTCCGGTGACTGAGTTACTGAGGTTGGACCCCCGGAGCCCTTGATTTGATCCGCCTGCCATTTGCTCCTATCTGCACCCTCCTAAATGTCGTCTCTAGATGGCTTGACCCTCCACCCTGGGCAGTCCTAAGGACAATAATGATCCTTTTCGCCCCTCGCCCATGGTCTGTGCCCATGGGACATCAGAAATGCTGCTTAGCTCAGGGGCACGCCGTGCAGGTTTGCAGCAGGGCAGGAGCTTAACTTGTTCCCTTTTTGTTTGCTCTAGGCCCCTGATATGAGCAGTTCTGAAGACTTCCCCAGCTTTGGGGCTCAAGTGGCCCCCAAGACTCTTCCCTGGGGACCCAAACGATAATGACCTGGAAGCAGAAACATCTCCTCCAGCCCGCTGACCTGACACTAACCTGCCACAAATACCTGTCTGAAATCTGACCCAGCGGCTGGAGCACAAGTCAATTGCCCCAAGAGGTCTCCTAATGGTGTCTGGAGTGCTAGACCCCATCCTGCTCCCCTCAGCTATCACCGTGGCTAGGACCCACCCTCATCTCTTGATGGATATTCTTTCCTCCTTTGGAACAAGACTTCCACTCAGATTCAAACACTAAATGTGCGTGGTTTTGTTAGACACTTCATAATTGACTCAAAGTGGCTAAGATTTGCGGCTTCCCAAGCGCTAGCAGAGCAATCTGCTCTCTTGAGCATGTCTTACTAGGCATTCTCGCCTTCATTAGGAGACCTCCTTTACTGTGGCTAGGAATCGACTTCCTGTCTCATGACCTCAGGAAATAAATTTCCTTGACTTTCTAAAGCCAAAACGTTTGCCCTCTTTCCTTTGTGTTTATCCCAGGCCTTACCTTACCTTTGTAGAGTGCAATCAACTTTTTTTCCTTTTAACTGCCAAAAATTCATTTAATGCTGATAGCTGACTGTGGGGAGAGCTTAAAATAATCTAAAAGGTCAGAAACGTGCTTTTTAAAGGAACAAAACCTTCAATAGGCTGTAGAGGCAGCAGAGACGGAAGGGACCAGAAAAACATACGGCTACCCTGGTCAGGTAAACACCTCGGAGTGCGGCGCAGCGCGATGTGAGCGCGCCCCTGCGCCACACCAAGCACAGCCCCAGCCCGCATGCTTGACGAGTCTTCCAGCGCCTGATGACAGACCCCGCTCCTAGTTCCCCGCGTACCCTCGTTCGCCCTTCCCAACAGCCCACAGTGTGAGCAGGCAGGCGAGCCAGCACGTGACAATATCGCCGGATGGGACAGATGGGGGTCGCCCCGGGTGGCTGCGGTGGCATGGCCCAGGAGAAGCTGGTGGGAAGCATGGCCTTGAGAAGCTGTAGTACCCTGCTAGCACTGCAGCATCTAGGCACGGGCGGTAGGGACACCTATTGCTGTTGCCTTCTTTCTACCTCAGAAGTCAGTACGATGGTGGCCTCTCAGCGTGAGTGGGTAAGGAGCTGCTCCAGCTTTTGCCCTGGCACCCAGAGCAGAAGTGTGGAGGAGAAGCAGGAGGAGCCTTTTGTCCCCAAGCAGCTGTGGGAGCTCCTCAGGAGGGAAGCTGGCGGTGAGGCAGGCTGTACATCAGAGAGAACATAGGACAGATAGAGCAGAGCTTGGCCCCCAGGCCATAGGCACAGCCTTGCCGCAGCCCTCGGCTGCAGAGGTGGTGAGCCAGGCTTCTGCTCTGATGGCACCAGGGGGCTGATGGTGTGCGCCAAGCCCTCCCCGAGGCCTCCATCGTATGGGCAGTAGGGGGTGATCCATGCTCTGTACCCTGGGCTGCTTGCACCCAGGCCCTGCCACAGCTTGCTCGAAGGGGGCTATGTCCAAGCTCCTCCAGCCAGTCAGAGGAAAACCCATGTCTTTGTGGAGGGAGGCAGGGAGCGTGGGGTTTCTGTCTTCTCTCCTTGCCCTGCCTCAGTCCTACAGAGGTTGTAGTCTGAGCCATTCCTCTATCCCAGCTGCTTTAGCTCTTGGACAAGCAGGAGTCCCTAGCCTCTCTTCCCTAGTGCTGCTTACGGAGCAAAGGCCGAAACCTCGGGCGAGCTGAGCCCAGCGTTCTTGCCTTTCCCTCTGTCCAGCAAGCCCGATGTACTGACGCTTCTCCCTTCCGCACCAGCCCCTCTTGGAAGAGGCTGCTATGCAGGAGTTGAACCAAAACCTCACGGTGCTCTCCTTAAGTCGGAGAAATGACCGAAGCTGACCACGGCCCCTTGCAGGGCACCTGGCTGCCCCCGGAGGACACGGGAGACAGGGTGGCTCAGGCAGAACAAGGGTGGCACCCTTGCATCCGTGTCTGTCAGAAAATGGTGATTATCCCTGTAGCTTAGGTCTGTCCTATGTCACCAAGCCTATTGCCCCCCTCTTCCTCTTTATGCCCCCGTGCCCTCACCAGTTGCACAGCGAGGCTTGAGTTACATTTGGGGCACCACCCTCCGGGCTCGTGCCCCAGAGCCCGACCCTCCACTCTAAAGAAGGTCATGAAGTGATTGTACCTAGTACTGTCCCCCACCACCCTCCTTCCGCAGCAGACTGTGGCGTGTGTCCATTTCCTCTCTTTGATGTCTTCCATATTGTACGTTTCCATAGCAATGATCCCTTGGCCTTAACTTTGGAATTTGGAGACTATATGCAAACATGTAAAAAGGCTCATGAGTATGGATGACACTGGAATTTTATAAATTCTAAAATAAAACCTGAAACAGCTTGGAGTGTCACGGATATTATTTCTACGGGTGGGTTGAGATCCAGGGCAGCCCTTGCTTTGCTGGGTTAAGCCCGGTTTGAGGAGGTCCAGCTTGTGCGCATGAGCCTCTGCTGCGGCGATGCCCTCACCGAGGTGGGACGCGCACAGCAAGCGGCTGGGCCAAGGGAGCTGGTGAGCAGTGGCGAGGGCTGCACCCTCCTGGCACACCCGGGGAGGTGGGGCTGGGGACACTGCTGGCAGGGACCAGCCATGGTCCCTCTTGCTTCCCTCCGCCATCGGCAGAGCCGCTCGCCTGCCTTCTGCAAGCAGCAGGGCTGCACAGCGCCCTCTAGCCTGGGGCAAGCTGCTGCTCCCTGACAGGCGAAGCGTGGCTCGGGGGCTGCCGTGTCGGAGGGTCACTGCACCCCTCCCAGGCTCAGCCGGTGCCTCCGTAGCTCTCCCCCTCTCAGCAGCAGCTCAGCCGTTCTCACTGTCCCACTGCTGGCGCCGGCAGGAGCAAACCCTCCAGCCCTGGTTACATCCAGCCCGGGGGAGGCAGGAGAAGCACGAGCCAGCGCAGGAGGCCATGCCCCAACCTTCGCTCGCTGCAGGTACAAGCGGAGCTGTGGTTGCACGGCCCAGCCATGGGGCTGCTGCGGGCGGGCGCTGCCCTGCACCGGCTGAGCACAGCCCAGCATGCGGCGTGACCAGCCACCTTTAATTCGCACCGTGCCACGTCGTTTATGCAGTGGTGGAGTTGCCGTGCAGTAATGCCAGCGAGCTTGGACAAACACCCAGAGCCAGCTGCATCCCTCCCCGTTAGCAGTAGCTGTCCCCGAACGCCCGTGTGCCGGCTGGGTGGGGAGGCACGCCTGCTGCCCTGTGGCTGGCCTGCCAGTCCCTGCCTGCGGCCAGATCCGTGACGCTGGCGTTGCTTCTTGTCTCCCATCTCTCCAGGAGGACCTGAACCACAGAAAAAGGAAGCCGGCATTCACACCAGCAGCAGCTGCCGCAGCTCCTTACAGGGCTGCCGCCTTGCTCGCCTGCGCCTCTGTGCAAGTTTAAAGCCAAAAAAGGCTTTAAAGAAGGGGGTGGAGGAGCCGCTGCAGCCCACCTTGTTCTCAGCCAGGGCCTCCTTGGCCAGGTACCGTTCACGCTTCACCTTGACCTCCACGGACTCGGGAATGTCGGGCACCAGCCACGCAATTACACGGCCAATAAAGAAAACCACGTGCTGGAAGTGAGCAGGGATGTGTGGGTTGGCCGAGGTGGCAGGTCCTCAACCCCGCCCCAGCACCGTACCCTGGGCCAGCCTGCAGGGCTCAGCAGCCAGTACCTCGAACACAATGATGAAGCCCAAGCGTATGGCCAGCAGCTGCCAGTAAGTCAAGGTCAAATTGCCATCCCGGTCCCTAAACGCTCTGTATCTGTGGGAGCAAAGTGGAGCTGCTACTGCCTCCGTCCGCTTCACGGCAGGCCTGATGCTGACTAAAGGCCACTGTGCTAAACAAAACGCTTGCCGTGGCAGTGGCAGAGAGAAGCAAATCCAAGTCCAAGCAAACGAGGAGAGGAGCCAGGTGAGGCAGGAGGCTCCCACCTGCACGTGGTGTTGCTCCGCAGCACGAAGTCCCACGGCGCATATGCCAAGGTGAAGTTCACGTAGCCACGCAGGCTGCTGTCGTGGAGGTGCTCGTAGTACACGCGGGGCAGGAAATCAGAGGTAAAGGCTATGAGGAAGGCCTGGGGGCAGGGAGATGTGCTGCAGCAGGTCCTGCAGCCAGGGGATGCCCCAGTCCCACAGGCAAGACCTCTTCCCCGCCCTGTCCTCCGGAGGTGCCTTTCCGCCTCTCGCTGCCCTCAGCCAGACAAACCAGGCACAAGCGCTGCTTGGTCTCAGACAGCAGCTCATGGCGCTGTGCCCTGTCCTCGGTGAAACCCAAGCAGGGCCGTGTGCCCTGGAGGTGGCAGCTTCCCACTGCCCATGGCTGGAGCTGCACCTTCCGCAAAGGTGGATCCACCCCAGGCACAACTGCTCCCCTCATCACCCGGCATCCTGCAGTGGCTAAATGAGTTTACCCCTCCCTAATTTCCCCTACACCACTTGCAGCCCCCTCGCCTCCCGCCTGCCTTCCTGGCATACGTTGCTGATGACAGCCAGGTGAGTGATGGCCTCCAGGATGGAGAACCAGATGCCGATGCCCTGCGCCCGCTCAGCCACGGGCCGCCGGTAGTCACAGACGAACTTGTGGGCATCCAGGCGGATCTCCACCCAGTTGTTGAGCAGGGCAAAGAGGGGTGCCAGGGGACAGGCCGCCACAAAAATGGTGATGAAGCCAAACTGCAGGACTGGGAGGAAGAGGAGGAGGAGGAGGGGGGGCAGACAGGCTGAGAGACAGCAGCAGCAGCTCCCAGCCCTGTCCTGCAGAGAGCGGGGCAGCCCTTCTCCCTCCAGCACCCACAGGCTGCTTGGGGTGAAAGCTCCTGCAGCTGGTGCCATCCCCTGGGGAGCTCCCGCCTCTCCCCACCGGCTTGCTCGCTCCTAGTGCTTCAGCCCTCCCCACCCCAGGGTCAGTCCCTACCCATCTCCAGGTACTCATCAAACAGCCCCTCGAACACCAGCAGCTGGTGGTCCATCACCCAGGGTGCCTGCTCCACCAGGACTGACTCCCCCTCCTCGATCGCCTTCTTGGTGGAGAGGAGCTTGTGCTTGTGCCACCAGCACTTCAGCTTCCTAGGGAGATGAGAGGGGCCGTGGCCCCACTGCAGCCAGCCAGCACCACTTAATGCCCCCCTGGCCGAGCCCTAAGGCCCCACGCTGCCCAGGCTCGGGGGCACGCGATGGCCCTGGCAAGCCACACTGTCTGTACTCACGGGATGGCCACCTCCTGCACGTTGTTGACAATCTGCTTCCCCACCATGATGACCAGCAGCTCCTGCGCCAGCTCGATGAAGCACCCGCCTGGGCTGCACTGGGGGGAGAGGGGCCCTCAGCCTGCCAGGTCAGGCAGGAGGGGGTGGGAGGACCCCGAGGATGGGATGGCATCCCTGCAGCACATCCCAGCCAGGCACAGTGTCTCTCCCACTTGCACTCACCTCCTCGTTGCGGACACCCAGGAAGCTCAGGTAGTTCCCAGGGTAGCCAACAAACCTGCGGGAGCCGCGGCAGAGCCGTGAGCAGAGCCCCCAGGCGCTGAGCCCAAGGGTGCGTCTGGAACGGCCCTGGTGGAGGAGGGCTTTTTCTCATCCACCCAGAGCCCTCTTCTCCCTCACCAAGGGGGACAAAAGGGCCGGTGCTGGGTGCCTGTGATGGAGAGAGTCCCCCATTCCCAGACTGGGACCAGCTACACCAGTCAGCCCACAGCAGGCTGGCACTGCCCTCATTCACAGGTGTCATGGAATCACAGAATCGTTGAGGTTGGAAAAGACCTTTAAGATCATCAAGCCCAACCATTGTCCATGGCTCTGTGAGGCGTCCCACTCTCTGGTGGGTCCATCCCCCCACCGCAGCGCTCCTTGCCCAGGACGGCAGCAGCACTGCCCAGCAGCGAAGCCCAGAGGCCGGGGGCTGCAGGAGATGGGGCAGACCGCTGCTCCCCCCAAAGGCCTTACTTGCCCTTGAAGAAGGCGATGTAAACAGGAGATGAGTAGAAGGTGACAAACTGGAAGATGAACACTTTGAAGGTGAAGGCGTCTTCATACTTGGTCTGAGTGCGGTGCATCTCTGCCGGGGGAAGCACGGGGACGTGGCCCTGGACCGCTCCAGGTGCTCTTCCACACCATCACAGGAGTCACCCTACGTTGCTTGACCCTAACCAGCCCCCCGCAGCCCGGGGTCCCCAAACCTGCTGGGGTACCGTGCAGGCGCCTGCCACTCATCCAGAGCCTGGAGGCGCCCACCACCTCTGCACCAAAAAAAAAAAAATCTTCCTCTGCTTGGTACAGAGGCTTTGTGTCTCATGAAAGGTAACAAAAACAGCCCCCAAAACCAGATTTTCTCCCCCAGACCTCAAGTCAGCTTGATATTGTCAACAAAAACCCCCAGAAAAGCTTGAGCAGAAGCTAAATCCTACACACCTTTTTTGTTCTGCTGCCGAAATGCTTTTCTCCCAAGCTCTTCTCCACAAAGCCACCACCCTCCTGAGAGTGGACCAGCCGTCCCCGCGGGGCCGTGGGTGGAACTGGCCTCCCAGCAGCAAGCTCGCTGGGTTTGGTGCTCTGCCCTTACTGACCACTCCCGCCCGCCACCGTCCAGTGTGCGGGACCCTCAGCAGCTTACCCCACTTAGTGAGGAAGTGAGCAAGGGAAATATAGATCTTGGAGAGGATGAGGATGAAGATGAGGTTCACCACCGAGCCAGTGATGCTGGCGATGCGGGACGCCTACAGGGAGAGGGAACACGCAGAGCACGAGGGTGGCGAGTGGGCCCAGCAAGCAGAGCAGGTCCAGGAGTGTCTCCAGTCACCTCTTACCGAAGCCACAAACCAGAAGTAGCCTGAGCTGGAGAGGAGGATGGCGACCACTGCCCGGTAGAGGATAATGGAGACCACGAATATCACCACCATGGCAATCTGCAAACACAGCACGTGGGGTATGAGGAGCTTGCATTGGGAAGGAAAACTCCACTGTTAACCCAGTGCACAAGTTCCGGGGGAGGTCCAGGGTGGGCAGCTGAGCCTGGGTGCAGCAGGGTGCGGGCTGAGCCAGCAGAGAGCCATAGGTTCCACCACAGGCCAGGGACTTCATCCCCAGCTCAACCCATGCTCTCTTATCCCAGACTGATCCCATCCCGCTGCGTCCCACTGCCCCAGGACAGGCGGTGGGCAGCTGCTGCTCCAGCCCCCGCAACCTTACCATCATTGTAATGACCGTGGAACCAGCCAAAATCCGGTGGAGGCGGCTGCGCTTGGGGAAATACGGCTCCTCCGCCCCTGTTATTGGGTTTATTATCGTCATGGGAGCTGTGGCCGTGAACTGGGGCCGCGGCCGCTCCTGGGAAAGAGAGAGAAGGGCATCAGGGGTGCCCGGTGTCTTTGGTCCATGTGGTTTTGGGAGGCACCGCAGAGGGCCAGACCCCACCTCGATGTCCTCGAACTCAGAGCAGTCCCAGTGGTGGGCCAGGGATGCGTTGGTCCGCTTCCAGAACTCCAGGAACAGCACTGCCCACAGGGACATGAAGATGCTGAAGAAGACAGTCCCACCGTGGTCAAAGAGCCGTCCTGCCTGTGGGCAGAGCAGGGCTGAGGGATGGGCAGGACACCAGGCGGGGGCTGCCCTGGCGAGTGCCGGCTCCTCCATGTCCCCGGGGAGGGGAGGTGGATGCGGCCGCCTGGGAGCCCCCACCGGGGAGGGAGGGGTGGGAAGACGGGTGGCAGAGGAAGCAGCAGGGCCGAGGCAGGAAGGCAGGCTTGGGTCACATGGGTTAACGCGGGGATGGAGATCTCCAGCCCGGCCCTGAGCTGCCCTCTGGGACCTCACCATGAATGTGCTGCAGAGTTTGGAGAGCGGCCAGTAGGGACAGGTCTTGCAGAGGGGACACATCCAGTATTGCTCTTCGCTGGCGCAGATCTCCTGCCTACAGGCAAGGAAGGACCAGCCGGCAGCCTGCCGGGGCTTGGCCTTTCCCACCGCTTCCCCTTCACCAGCACTTTTGCACCGAGTGCTGCGGCCGAGCCCCAGCAGCCAGCACCAGCCCATTGGGGTGCAGGCACCCCCGCCTCACCCCGCCACACTGGGCACGAAGGGAGCAGGGCCCCGGGGAAGGGGCAAGTGGGGAAGTGGGGGCACTTACGAAGGAACATCACTGAGCATCAGGACAATGCCCACAAGGAACACCACCGTCCCCACCACCGCGGCAGGCAAGAGCCATCCTGTGTAGAAGCCTGGAGACAGCAGAGATGGGGCCGTGAGTCCCATGGGCCCCCAGCCACTGAGGACGGCACC